TTTGTGTGTGTGTGGCCAGCTCAGCCCACCAGGGGGCGGGGCTGGCTGGCATGTGGTGCTGGGGGATTGAACCGCGGTCCCTGTGCTTTGCTAAGCTTGGTCTAAGTAGGTGCTTTAGACCACTGAGCCATCTCACCAGCCCAACTTTGTTTTTGTTTTTATTTTTCTTTTGGCAGAACCAGGGATTGAACTCAGGCCCTTGCGCTTGCCAGGGAAGCGCTTATTCCACTGAGCCATCTCCCTGGCCCTGCACAGCTTATTTACAGAACATTAATGTCTTATTTTAGTAAAGTACACCTTGTTTACACATTTCTCTAATTTTTACTGATTGCACTGTATAGTGTTGTAGTTTTATGTTCAGTTATATATTACAGTACTGCATGTAAGAGTTATGCAAATCAAAGCAAGATCATCAGGTTGGAGTTTCCTTTGGCTAGCTCTTGTTCTGACTGTTATTACGTGTGCACTATAAACAGTTCCTCATTTAGCTACCAAATACACTGAACAACCTGATCACTGGATTGGAACTCGGTCATTAAATAAGGAATGTCTGCACCTAGGTCTTGGCGCACATGGTCTGTCTTATTGGGAAGGCAGCATAGATACTAGAGCATCAGCCACATGGCAGAGAAAGTGAAATCATAAAGTGTCATAAGATGGACAACCCACAAAGTGCCAGAGGCACCTGGCAAGCTGCTGGTTAAAATGTCTGACATTGGGTACCCACCACTACTTGTTGGTAACACTCTCTGGCTGTAGATCCCAGGAAGCAGCATTTTACAAAATCTTCCCTGCCTCTTCCTCAGTCTCTTTCCCTGAACACACGGGGGAGGGGGATGTGCTGCTCACTTAAACTGAAACCAAGAGCAAGTGAGGGAATGTTGAATGGAGGAGATAAAACACAAGGCATGTTTTCAAAGACAGTGAGGACTTAGGCAAGTGGAGAAGAGCTGGAAGGGAGTCATGTGAGCAACTTGCTCCACACAGTGGGTCTGCCTGAAATTCTGAGGTGTGATCGAAAGATACAGTAAATGTTTACATTTATTTATTATTATGAATTTAGTACAGGGTCTATAGGGTTTCACTATACAGATCGAACTCATGGTGATCCTCCTATGTTCAGCCTCCCAAGCTCTGGGATTACAGGTACGTGCCACCATACCAAGTCTCAAGCACGTCTCAATGCACCCTGGGGACGAGGCCAGCAAGGCACGCCAGGGATCGAACCTCAGTCCCGGCATATGCCTGTCGCAGGTGCTTTAATCCACTGAGCTATCTGGATGGCTTTTAAATGTTTACATTTAAAGTTTACAAGAAAAGATACATTGTCATTAATCTTCCTTAAAATACTCCTCCTTGCCTTGAATATATTTATCCCATCACTTTTGCCATTTTTCTGGAATAGTGCTGGAAGTTCTTTCACTTGACTGTCTTGAGATGTGATAAAAAATACAATATATGCCACTATGGAGTACCATCCAACAGAAAGACAGGCTTGTAAAAATATTACACTGTGTCCTCAGCTACCTTCTTTACTGGATCTGGCACCGTGCCTGCCATTTCCAAGTTAAATTGACCATGAGGGGCTGGGGAAATGGCTCAGTGGAATAAGCGCTTCCCTGGCAAGTGCAAGAGCCTGAGTTCAATCTCTGGTTACACCAAAAAAACCCCAAGAACAACAACAACAACAACAAAAACCCCTAAAATGACCATGAAAGGTAAATGTTTTCAATTGATTTGAAACATTAAGGCACCCGGAAGAGCACAACTGAAGACACTCATGAAAGAGGCCTTCCAGAACTGCCTCCAAAAGTAGTGAGAAGGATGGGATATGTGTGCTCAAAGTAAGGGAGGTATTTTGTGGAGGTTTAATACCAATGTATCCTTTACTGTAACAATTTTTCAAAATTTAAACAATCCCTATATTCTTCCATCATATCTGGTAGTTCTGCAGGTGATAAAGTAGACTTTTTCACTTCTCCTATGAAAAAATGCCTTAGAAGACGGAATTCTTTGTTATCTGTGGTTATTGTAGCAAAATATAAGAAAGCTGCCCTTTGTGCTGTCACAAATAGGCCAGCATCACACTAATCCTAGTACCCAACTTTGGGGATAAGCATCTGTTTGCAGGCTGAAGGATGCTATTTCCCTATAGCCAAGCAAGAAGCTGTATCATTATGATCCAAAATTATTCATTGTATGCTAGCTGTAGCCTCTTGCCTCTTCTCCTCATCATCTCTCCCTCATCCCTCTGCCTACTTCTGCACACACTTCTAGTTCTAACTCACACTTTTTAGCCCAAAATTCTAAATGATCTCACACAACCCTCCACTGATTCTCTTCACTGTGTCTCCTGTACTTTTTTCTTTTTTAACCAAACCTCTTCCTGTCTTACTCTTCCAAAGTATTTCTTCCATGGAAGGAGGTATCTTCCATCTGGGTCAAGGTAGAGGAAGTGAAAAGATTTTGTGGAGTTAGTGAGTCTGTGTGTTGATGTAAGTGGGAGAGTGCTACTTGTTTGTTTTGTGACAGGGGACCTTTGTACATGAAATCAATCACTGCCTTTTATCATTGGACATCTTGTAAAACACATCTATTTTCAAACCTTGTTTATGCATTTGAATCTCTTAAACCATTGTCTTCATACTTATAAGACTCCTTCTCTTTAGGAAATGCAGTTATAAAGATAAAGTCACTCTAAGGCCTTTTTCAGGAAATATAGGAAATTTATTTTACTGGAAGATCAGTAGTCCAGAATGGAGGTTCAAAAGGCTTCTACCGCTTTTCTATGACTTCTCACCATCTGACTTCTGAAATCAGGCAAAGGCCAGTTGAGCAAAAAAAATTGCTCAGCTCTCCTTGGGAAGACCCAGTCAGGGGAGGCTAAGGCAGTGGCTGGACACAGCCTATTTTAGTAAGTTTGAATGCATTTCCTCTTGATCAGACTGTACTGTTTTGGAGCTGGATGGCTTGCCAAACTCCTTGCTTTCTGACTCACCACTGAGGCTTTCTGTTTGGGAGCACATAGCCTTCTCTGTCTGCTTCCCTTCTTATCATTGCCTATTAAATGCCCTGTGGCCTGAAAAATGAAAAGCAAGTCTCAGAAGTTCATCAGTTAGTCTTTTGAGCTTAAGGAAAGCAACAGAAGTCCAAGTGAATTTGGGAAAGAATCTCAAGCATCCACCCCGATAAAGAGCTCCCCTGATCAAACCATAGCAAGAGAAGTTCTGTAGAATACATTATCATTCAGATGTGGTTTGGGGACATAATTTGATGAGAAAAATTCATTATCTGCCTTTACCACTTTAGTTTTGTGAAGTCAGCATTCTGTCACTCTCAAAACTTGCAATAATATGACTTTAATGTAAATTTTCATTTAGCCTTCCAGAACTCAGAGGCAAACGGAACATTGGCCTGCACCCTGCCCTTTGCCTTTGTCTGTCATATGTCAGTGGTCCCAGGAGAAATGGATCTCCTAGAAACTGTGCTAACTGGCAAACCCACTGGAGAAGGGCAGTTGTCGCCTTCCTAGCAAACTCTTAGTGATTCACCTAAACACCGCCCCGAGATTATAGCATTTTAAAAACAAAAATAATAAAGATATTTCAATGGCCAGAGGGAGGTCAAATCATACCAAATAAGGAATTAAAATAATATTTAAATTGTTTTTAAATCAGGATTTGTGATTCAAATAATAGCTGTAATTTTTTTCTTTACCATAATTTTATTGAGAAACAAATAGCAATGAGACAGTTTCAAACCAAATTCGTAGGACAGTTTCAATAATTAACACATTGCATACATTCTTCCTAGTGGTTAATTGCTGTACAAGATGTGGACATGATATCCTATTTACAAACACCATTAGAACAAATTCCTCTATTCATTAAGAGAATGTAACTATATATCTATCCTAACCACTTTGAACACACAGATACAAAATGGACATTCATCTGTATCCCCTTTTTTTTGGTAAGTTCCGTTATTTGAATATTATAGGTGTGTAAACTCAACAAAATATTCTAAAAGAGTCTAGTAGCCCATAATAGTATTGGGTCTTCCACTTGACTGGCAATGTCAGAAATTGTTGAGTCCCCTACAGCTCAATATAACAGCATGGCTTTACTTCTAATATTTTGTTTCTATACTTTTCCTCTGGATAGTTAAGACCAAGGTAAAGCAGGACCTATGTAACAAGAGTTGTAGCTTTTGGCTCTGATAATGCCAGTGAAATCCCCTCAGGATTTATCCTGAGATCCTGTACCTCCGATTGTAGAACCTTTGTCAGTGTCAGCCATGTGGATGAGTCACGGCCATTTCTTGGCCAATGTGCTCTCTGTGAAGACCTGAGAGAATGTTTTCTCTCCATGTGACTCTCCGTAGGAACACTCTACATCATCGATCACTTTCCTCTTTGGCCCCATAATCTCCTTGATCAGAAAATTTGGGACACTACTGAGTTACATGACATTACAGTACAAGTTCTCATATGTTCTGAGTCTTAATTGACTTTGGAAGACTAGGGCCAAAATGTTGGCTTTCCTTGTGGCCCTCCTTTTTCTCCAATTTTGGTCTGCAAACTTAGATTGTTAACCATCCAGAAGACAAGCTTATTGTTATTACCATACAACCTAGGCTGTTAAGCTTAACCTCACTATATGTCTGCATATGAAACATCTTAGGCATATCATAAAACAGGTACTTTTCGTCAAGTATTGATATGATGAAGTTTAAGTCCCTACGGAATATGATGAAAAAACATTTAAAATTAGAATATATTTTAAAAAATAGTCATAAAAAATTATATGCTTCTTGTGTGTACACCTAAGTCCAAAAATCTCACCATATACAACCTTGAAGCAGGACAGTCCCACAATATCCCTTTTCCTGTATCTTGCCTT